CTTCTCGATCTCCATCACTCCTTGCTTTCGAGTACGCGATGAGAAATACGTAATTGATAAGCAGTTGCTACACGTGGCTGTATTGGCTTACTTCTTGGGATAAACGAAATATGAAAAAATACTGATAAGTCTTTCCTGCTTGTTGAGCAAACAAGTGAAGAAAATGGATGAGGAATTAGGTGCTTGAAACGTAATAGATGACAATAATAAAGAAAGAAAAAAACGTTTCGCACGAATGTGCAATGTAATTCGTGAAGAAAACTAGACACAAACGACGGATGCGCGTTATACTATATAGTGAATTATTTCGTCTAGTGTTATTAAATCATTATACATTACTTTTCCGTGTTGACGTAAAACCAAATCGAGTAACGTGCTGGGAATATATGGGTCTTAACTCTACACGTATCCGGATTGGAGACATCACGAAACGGTGCGTCCGAACAGGAATAAAACGGTCTCGTAGAGCTTGCGGCGCACTACCCGCCGGGACCACTCTTACTAAATTGATCTATATGTATACTGACCGCTCATAAGTAGTATGAAACATCCTATTAACTATAAAGCAGAACACTAATTTTAGTGTAGTGGGAAAAAAGTTTATTAAATTAAGCATAAATATAAAAAGGCATCTAGTGAGTGATCAACAGGGATACAACTGTCTGATATATTACAGGAACTTTTCAATATCATTATGGAACATCTGAATTGAAAATTCAATCCACATCCAGATGGAGCCAGATCATGCCACCGACAGATCCTGTTACATTCTTCAGTCTGCGTTTTATACGGCTCCGGAATGCTTTCACGTTATTTGTGTGCACTCCCGTCGCAGGATTGATGAAGCCGCCCGAGTGATTAACGCACATATGAATATATCCCAAAGAACATAATGAACGGTACGCTCCCCACTGGTCTGTACGCACCGTGGTTCCAAGCATCACCCAAAGTTGCAGTATAGATCGGAGGGTGGACACTGGTCGATCTTCCACCCATTGAAAAAAGCCTTTCCTTAGGTTTCGATTATACATACCAGACATCCATACTGTTGCCACTGGTCTTCCACGTCCGTATTTCCTTTTCAATGCAACGCTTTCGTCGATTTCAACAATAGATCCAACCCCATCTAGTTGTGTTGTCAGAGTGCACATTAAGAATGAACAGATGTCACAACAGAAAGTGTACCACTGGATGGCGCTCTTCCTGGAAATGTTTGACATTGCAGCCGCACGCGTCACCGGTTTCTCCATCACAAGGTACAAGATTAATTCCATGAGTGTGGACAAAGGCAGTAGTGACTTTTCGAAAAAAAGTGCCAAGAC